TGCATAATCATTACATTTTATGCAAGTTCCATGTTCACTACGAGGTCAGTTGCGACATCTTCAATCAAACAACTTGTTGGCACCCACACTCGAAAAACTTCTTTAGTCGAAGCAAACGACCAAAATAAGAAACAGCGAACAGTAAAAAAATGCTAGACAATAAATCCAAATCCCATTTGTCAGCATTAGAAAATTATGCAGCCGAAAAGTAAATGCGACAACAAAAAACACCAGGCCAGAGGCCAGACCAGATCTCTGCAAAGCCCGCCTCGGTCGTAATCGCAGTCGCAGTCACAGACATGGTCGTATTTATCGTTTGTCTCTCGTTGCTGTACATTTAAATTCATAAATTAAATTACACGACATGCACAATAATAAAAACGATTTGTGGCCCACACGCAAAAAAGATTTTCAACAGTTTTGGCCTCACTTTGCCGCAGAGATTCATTAAAGATTTGCCCACCAAAAAAATACGCTAACATAAAAAATTAATGTAGAGGGGGGGAAAAAAAAGAACAGCCGCCGCCGTTTTTATTTATTTGATTGTTGTAATCTTTTAAGCAACATGCACAATATGTCTATGCACATGAATACTAAACGCAGACAATATTAAAAATTACAATTAAATAAAATAAATGATGATGATGATGCGGCTGAGGCGCCCGCGCGGCTCTGCCAGCCGGCAGGCAACAACAATAACAACACCTGCAAACACCAACATGGCTACGCATGCGCGGGCGCCAGCAGCTCCAAAGCTGACGATGACGATGACGGAGACGGAGATTTTCTGTTGCCAAATTTGGTCAGGCAATGTGTAATGTGTGGCAAACAACAAGCGGAAGCCAACAAGTTGCATTGACGTTGAGTAGAGTCGAGTTTAGTCGAGTCGAGTCGAGTCGAGTTGGCCGTGAGTTGTGACTTTTTGTGGGCAATCTGCAAAAGTGTCATTTCGCAAAGTGGCTACAGCCATGGGAATTTTGTAGCTGCGCCAAGCCAAGCGAGTGGGTGACAACTGGCAAGGTGTGGGGCCGAGATAGAGCGCCATTTGGGATCATGTGTGAGTGTCTCTGACTAAGAAGCTACGCATATTTTAGCCATCAAACAACTGACAAATATCCATTCGATATACAAGTACGCTGCTGTAAGCCAGATTTATTGTACAACATGATGCAGATACATACTTGAATATACATGCAGAAAGTGATTTGAATCTATATTTGCTCTTCTTCTCCACCTTAATACCAATGGTTCTTGTAAAGTAAAGAGGAAATTTGAAACTATTTCCATCTGGTAGCGCCACATATTGGCTGGGTTTGAACGGTACATTTTTTATCAATATCGCGTCAAAATATTGTTGACAATTGATTTAATCTAACTACTACTAATATATAAAGTTGTTGAAAAATATTAACTTAAGTTTTAAATTTGGTAAAATATTTCTCTCAACGTTTCGAATGATGAAACAAGCTTTTGTTGATAATTGTATATGTTGTGTTAGATTCCACGAGTGCTACGACTATACGCGATTTAAGAATAGTGGCCATAACTTCAATGACGATGAACATGTTTTGAAATTAATGGAAATGGAATTAACTATCCCCAAATTAAAGACAAATTGTAAAGGTGTATTTTCACTTTGATTCCCACAAGTTCACTGATAACCAAAAATTGCTCAAAATTCAATTAAACATTCGAATGATCTCATTAAGGAATTAAACAAAGACCAAAAATATTTGTACAATAAAGAGATAAAAAGCAACAAAGCGAAAACCAAAAAAACTCTTTGGGAAAATGAAATGTGAAAAATATCTTGATCTTATACTTTCCAGCAATTTTCATACGTGCTGTTGTTCCTAGGAATCCAGAATTCACTTGACCTTAAAATTTTTTGAGCTCGTTTTATGGATAATGAATATATACAAGTATATTTAAAAAAAAATTGGTGCCAAGCAACAATATGGTGTTCAAATTTGTTTTCCTTTCGTTTTCATTGCACAGAACATTTTGAATATGAACCATAGAGAGGAATTTTCTTAATACCTTGAAGTTAACGCTGCATGTTGAAAAAAAAGTAAAAGTTACATTTTTGCATGTCATATTCAAAAATAATATGATTATTGCACAGGTTTTAAGCAGTTACTTGCTATGCAAAATGAATTTCAAGTTCATTTTCCATTTCATCATTCAAAAGACATGGCTGACGAATCAAATCCGCCTGATGTTTCATCAATTTTTTAACAAGCATGCAATTGAAATCAGGTCAACAGCAATTGTTTCCCTCCTGCGCGAAATTTATTCATTTGCAAACAAAAGTCGTACGCAGCATGACTTCAACAAAAAAATACAAAATTGTGAAAAAATCAATTATATGCATAATTTTCAGGCGGTCAGCAAAAACAATGTGCAACACAAAATTATGACAAAGCGGCGCCGTCAATGCAAAATCGATCAATGTCAGGAAATGATGGCAAGGTTATGACAATTATCAACAGTCCGAAAATAAAAAACAATAACAATAATGAAAGACGAACGCCATCATCATCATCAGCAGCAGCACGAGCAGCAACACCAACAACAACAACAGCAACTGCAATTGCTAGCTAATGGCAAATGGAAATAGTGTGGAAGTTGTCCAAGCAAGAGTATTAATTATACGCCATGTTGCTTGACCCATAAAATCACGGCAGAGACAATTGTTTTTTTGGTGTTTGTTGTTTTTGTTATTTCACTCAGTGCATCCGTCAGCGACTTTAATGCAACATTGTCGCTTTTTAGACCCTGTCCCTCCATATATGTCTGTGACTCATTGACCGCAGAGCTTGGCAGCTTGTGCGTTGTTGTCGCAGCAAAAGATTGAGGTGCGTTTACAGAACGTACAATTTTTTAGCCAGCTGTGGCTTGGTTCTGCTGCTGCTGCTGTTGTTGTTGTTGCTGTTGTTGTTGTTGCTGTTGTTGTTGTTGCTGTTGTTGTTGTTATAGTTGTTGTTACTGCTGCTGCCTATTGCTATGCCATTTATTGCCTTCATGGCACTCAATTTGTTTGGCCCGGGGCGACCGCCTCAATAATAAAATGGTTTTTTATTATACAATTTAGTTGCTTTAACTTGCGTGTAAATCGCCTTTGCATATTGACACATAATCATTGTTTCAAGCCGCAAACTTGCAGCCGCAACGACTGGCAAACTGTGAGAACAACAACAGCAACATTGAACAACATTGAAAATTATTACATGTTGGCAGCCGCAACAAAACCGTTGCTAACCTAATGAACATTTTCATATCGACCGTGGCCATTGCAGTTGCCGTCTTTTTCTCTCTCAGCTCTTGTGTGTGTGTGCGTGTGTGTGTGTGTGTGTGTGTGTGAGTGTGTGGGCGGCATGCAAAGTGCGCCATTTGCTAGACTGGCTGAAAATCCCAAATCCACATCCAAGCACAACAAAAACAATAATAAAGAAAAAGCAACACCGAATGGCGACGGCGACGGCGACGGGCTGACAGCCCAAATGCTAGCCATAACTTAACAATTCTAATAAGCAGCCAATGGCCGTTGTTGCCCGGAGCCCGCACATTTGTTAAAGCATACCCAAACCCATATTCATTGCCGCACATTCGCCAATTGGGCGAAATTCCTTCTTAATGAGGCTAATCATGCAAAAAGCGAAAACTGCACGCCAAATGGCCAGCAATGACAACGCCGGCCCGGCGACAGCGACAGCAACGACATTAACAACAAACAACACCAACAATGCTGCTCAAAAAGAGGCTCCATCCCGCTGCAAGATAATTCGAATACTCTAACAAGATTAAATGGCAATATCGTTCCATTACGACCAGTATTCAGAAGGAGCTGGAGGAAAGGGAAAAATAAAACGAACATTTCTTTTCTGGTTAATTGACTAGAATTCTCAATTCAGCTGTTTTGTGTTATTGAGATTTGTTATTGTTTTATTGTTGCGGAATAAGAGAAAGGTTTAATAAAACAGTATACCTTTTCTTTCTATTGTATATTCTTAGTCTGTATTTAAATTTTCTGTTTGAAGTGCAGAGCGTTTATTGTGCGGAGAAGCTTAAAGATGCAATACATTTCTCGTCACATTAATTGGAACGAAAAATTCTAAATAAATTGGGCTTGACTCTCAAATTAAAATACTTCTTTAATTGATGTCATTTAAGAGCAATGTTCTCTCGCCGTGGCTGCTGGATATGGTGGTTCTTTTAATGTCTGTTTAAAATGTCAATATTTATCTGTATTATCAATTTTCTTTCATGATGATCCAAAAGTTATTTACCATTTGTGTGATTTCTGTTATCTGCAACTAACATCATGATACAGTAACGCGATTTTGATAGTAGTTTTATACCTGGCTACAGGTAAAGATGGAACCGGCTATTAATATAGACAGAATTCGGCTATAGGTGTCTAAAATTAAAAGCATTTAAAATGGCAATAAAGAAAAACACTATTGAATGTTCGGCCTGAGCCAACTTAGAACTTACCTATTTTACAGATAAATTTGGTAGTTGTTATCCAAGATAGCTGCTATATTTGTGCTTTTTGACAGCTTTTGTGAAAACGTATGTATATTAAACTTGATAAATATAGTATATACTTAAATGTGTTCCCATATCGAATCTGATTACTAAAGTGGCTATTTCAATTTATAATCTTTAATTCTTTTTACTGCACCTAAAAGGTAAACAGGGGTATCAGGCAGAAGAAATCATGTGATACTCGATAGAGTAGATGTATTATTTATTTATCAGGATCATCATATTTATTTGCATCATATTTATTTCTACAATCTCAGTTACTGTGGAAAAGTGAATCACTTTCATTATTCACATTTCATTTCTCTCCATAAAGCTTATATTATATTTTGTGCCTTTAAGGAGAAACAAGAAACTATTCAAAAAGTGGAAAAGTATATATTTTTTGAAATATCTATTTGGACTTAATAATAATACAATTTGTGAAAAGCAGAATATGTCGTGTGAGTATAAATTTGAGAAGACGCAAGGCGCATGCCGCTTCATTGGTGCGTTACGACGCCATCACTCCTTGGACAGTCGAATGGTTCGTCCCTGTCGGAGAGGATCGACGATGACGCGTGCCAGTAGCTGCTCGGACTTGTTGGAAAATGTGACCAGGAAGGAGGAAAAGTCCATAGAAACCTCGAAAAATGACGCAGATTGTAGTCAGGCTGTATTAAGGACTGCTCTGCGCTTGCCCGATTGCCATCGCGATCACATTACGAATGCTCATATGAAGCGCATGCAAATATTTGGAACACAATCCAATAAAAATACTTCGGCATACCATCGCCTTATGAAGGAACTGAAAGAATTGATGAAAAATCCACCCGAATATTGCAGTGCGGCCCCAACGGATTCGAATTTCTTATATTGGCGTGCGACGATTATGGGACCACCAGGAAGTCCCTACGAGAACGGCATATTTCACTTGGAAATGGATTTTCCGGATAAATATCCGTTTGCGCCGCCCACAGTGCGATTCCTCACACGCATTTATCATTGCAATGTTGGCAAAATGGGCAATATCTGCCTGGACATACTCAACAGCAAGTGGACCCCTGCACTGTGCATCGAAAAAATATTGCTTTCCATTACTTCTCTAATAGTTGACCCCAATCCCTGTGATCCAATGCGAACTCAAATGGCAGCCATTTATTTAATAAACAGAGAGAGGCACGATCGTACAGCCAGACTCTGGACAAGGCGTTACGCCATGAGAAAAGATGATCAAATCAAAGAGAAGAGTGAAAGTCAACAAAATCATATTCCAAGTCCAATGAGAGAGCTCTGGAACGCTTAAAAAACAAGCCAAGCACTTCCAGTCAGCGATCAGTTTGAAGAAGAATAGAGGGATACGAGCATGTAGGATCTTATTTTCTGATTTTCAAAATTGTTCGTTATATTAATAGCAGGTGAGAGACGCTATATAATAATAAATATAGTTATTCAAATTGAACTACAATCTGAAATGGCCTTTTTCCTGGATTCCTTCAATACACTAATTAATTTCGATGGAGCTAAAGCACATTTTGTAGTTAAAGAGAATCAAATGCCTGTCTGCGTTTCCCACTCGATCCCTGTATGGATAAACGTGCTCGAGATTGCAAAGCAAATAATGGTAAAATATTACAGATATAACAACAATTACTGACAATTTTTTATGATATATATATATAACCCACAGACAAAACTAATTATCAAATTGTTTTATTGTTGTAGAAATGGAAAATGCTTAGCATACGACCACTAAAGTCACTCAACAATTATGATTAACCGCACATATATAAAGATCTAATTAAGCAAAGTATCCTGCTTATTGTCTAATTGTAAATTGAGCTCAAAGTTATATGAATGTAACAATATATATTAGTATGTGTTTAAAAAATATTTTTTAGTGCTTCTAAAAAAAAATATATATATATAATAATAATAATGAAAATGTCTAGGGACTCGGAGCGTCTACCTACCAAGATTGTTTAATGTGAGCTTAGATAAACGGACGGACAGACAAACAAAGGAACATGTCTAGATCAATTCGTCTCGTTATGCTGTGCACAAACCTAACATACTCTTCTTTCCTTGGTATAAAAACATTTATTTATTATTTATTAATTACGAGATGGGCTTAACTCAAATTATTGTACTCCCATAGCCATTAGAAAATAGGACCCCGAAAAGCAAAACCTAGCACTTTCTGTGCAAGCCAGGTTGAACAGAAAGGTTCAATAAATATTAGGCGGACACTTTCCTTCTCTAAGTCCAACGCAAAGACTTGCCATGCATTGCAAGTCGGCAATGCCTGTCTATCGACAAAGTAGTTGCTACCTAATGACATCTTTTTGACGAGCCAAGCAGCGCCAACTGCCTTTGTCCGTCTACACGTATATCGGTAGACTGTCCTGTCCGTTAAGCGAAACTCTCGCTTAGTGTAGCTGCTACCATCCACTGTAAATTGGGTCCTGACCTTATAAAGGTGAGCAACGTGCGTTCCAAAGCAACTCCTACGAGCATGTGCTCCATGTGCACGCTATCGATGCCCGCTGGATCGGTTCAAGTGTCGATTGTGTAAGCTGCCACGGATGCTGCTGCTGTTGTTGCTCCTGCTGCCGATGACTGGTCATAATAATGCAACAGCAACAACTGCTGCACACATGCATACTTGCAGCAACAAGCAGCCGCATGATTGAATTACATTTTGCAGCAGCAGCAACGACAGCAGGAGCAACAAGCAGGGCAGAAGCCAGCAGCAACAGCCATGGCTGAGACACAATGTTGCTGCCAACGGTAGCAGCAGCAACAATGTTGAGCATGTTGCAAAGCCTATGCACGGGTGTTGTTGTTGCAGTGGTTGCAGTTGCTGCTGCAGCCTTAAAGTTACTAATTAGACGTCATTGTCTGGCTTACGGTTGTTTGGCATTTTGGCAGACCACAACAACAATACAACTAACAACAGCAACTGCTGCTGTTGTTGTTATTTGTTGCTGTTTCTGTCCAGCCACATGGAAGCTGCAATTTTACACATTTTGTGGCTCGGCTAGCTGCCTGCCTGACTGTTGCCATTGTTATCTTAGCCGCGCTAAAAGGGGTCATTATGTCAAGGATTTCATTCAGCCAAGACGTGTTGTTGTTGTTGTTACTGCTGCTGCTGCTGCTGCTACTGCTGCTGTCATGTTGCTTGATATGCATTGTTGCCTGGCTTCCTGAAATCAGCACACAGTGACTCATGAAGTAGCAAATAAAGCATTTAGCCCGCTCGACTTTTATAAACTTTGAACGTTAACGTTTCAGTGTCATTGTTGGCAAGTTCGGCTACCGGCTACCGTTGCCAAAGTCAGGCGGACCGTCTGTCAGCCAACCAATTGCCAGCTGCAATTAAACGCTTGACAAAATGACTGACAATTCAACTGAGCTGCATGAGTGCGCCTTACAGTGGAAAATCAGCAGCCAAAGCACGATTTTTCCAACTGTCTATAATGTCTGTAATGGGCATAGTGCCTGTATTGGTAGCGATCTAGACCACTGGAAAAAATACCCATTGTCTAATTATAAACTATACTTTTAAAGAACTATTCGGCAAGCGAAAAAAATAAACTAATAAAATAATGTTGATATGCATAAGAAAGTTTTATAAAATAATATTAAGAGCATTTGATCCCTTTTTGTGGTAAATTTCTAAAGAAATGTTTTGCCCTAGTTTCGTCCCAAGCCGTAATAGTGTTTATTAGTGTTTGTAGATACAAAATAGATATAAATATTACGACATGGGATTATTATTTTGAGGGTCATTGTCTTCCATTTTTGTATGCTATGACGATTGGTCGGTCAATCCAATGATTTTGCAGCGCCAACTGTCATATGCAACCACTGTGCGTGTGTCATTTAGCCAAAGTCGTTTTGGGGTAATTGCTAATCCCGCTAACGAGCCGCAGCACAAATCGCAGTTGGTGGCAATCGAGCGACCAGTGGGCGTCGCATTAGTTTCAATCGAAATCAAAATGCAATTTCCAACTTCAACTGCCGACTATTGTTGGGCCGGGCAGACGGAGGGAGAGGGTTTCTTTGATTTCTGCAATATTGCCAGCATATGCAAGTGCGGAGTTAATGTGGCCAGTGATTGCGTTTAATGATTGATTGCCAAAGATACGCGCAACTCAAATGTGTTTATAGACAAGAGCTAAAACATTAGCAGACGACACGGAAAACGAAATGGAGAATACGGGCTGGCAAGGGAGAGTAAAATGCAATTGCAAATGAAACCGAAATTGGTCCGTACAGGTAATGGGCAACTATTGGCAACAACAACAATACTGACAGCAACAGCAACAACGACTTCGGCCAACTGGTTCCTCAGATGGGGCGGCTAACGAAACTGAAAAGCAAACGTGACGCTGCTGACCCACTGAACCTTTTCTACAATGCCTCTCCACAGTTGCTGTGGGTGGCTGGCTGGCTGCCTGGTTGGCTGAATAGCTTCGCGGCTAAGAGCGAGGAGGGGAGGTTTTAAGTGCAAATTGCACAAAATATTGAAATACGAGTAATGTGCGGAGACTCGTGCATTAAAGTTTATTGATTTTAAGCGATATTAACTTGTTGTGCAATTATTTGTACAGAATTTATAAATTTATTCATACATACATATTTCGCCAAAGGGTTCAACCGCAGGCCAGCGAGCTCAAAGGTGCTACGGCTGCTGTGAGACTGCTTTTGAAACCTTTTGAAGCTTGAGCTTTTTCAAGCTGAGCTAAAAACTGATGCGGCAGGTGCAGGCCGATAAAGCTAAATTGTAACCGTAATAAATAAATTTCAAATATAGCAGTTTGCCTCTGCAAATCTTAATTAAAATCATAACAGAGCTAGGTTTCTAGCAATGAAAATAAATTGTGTAACTTGTCTGTCGTCAGCTTTACTGAAATCTTAAAGCTGGAGCCTCCAAACCCAGAGATGGGAAGTTTATGTTTGTAGTTGGGGATTATTTGGAACTTGAGTTGGAAATAAAATCAAGGCCCTAACTGCAGCTGTACTCTGAAACACTTGCCTTTCCTAGGGTCAATTAGCAATTACTTTCCTTGGTTGGTGCTGTCTTCACGCAAGTTTTAACTATAAAGAGTTCCCACAAATGTTATGTGTTATTTGTTCGATACAATTCAGTGAAGGTGCCAGAGAAAGCAATATATATGTCGAGAGTACTAAAAGCAAAATATATATTCCAGCTTAGAAGTCCAGCTCAATTTCTTACCATTTGCAGCTTCATAAACTGCACGACGCCAACAGTTAACATCGCATTGCAATTTGGCTAAATTGGCGCGGCTAATTGGCACGTGTGTGCAGAGCCATTTTAAGCAAACTACAACCCACTAAAAACCAATACGAACTGCTTTGAAATAAAGAGACTTCACTTAAAATGCAAATTTTGTGTTACCATTTGTGCGCCTAGCGCTGCCGCTGCCACCGCCGCCGCCGCTGCTGCTGCCGGCGTCGCACGTGGCCCAGCTAAAAAGGCAGGCAACCGGCAACCGGCGCGGCCGCGTATAGAATGGGCTGTGTTGCTCGTAATTTGTTGCCAACGAAATTGCCAGCAACATGTTTACGCAACACAACAGAGGCGTTGCAGTCGGCAATTGCAGAGGCCACCTCTCAGCCACTCATTTAAATGAAGACATAAAATTGACTTTACTACCCATTCACCTTGTTGTTGTTCTTACTTTAAGTGCGTGTTTTAAGGCATGTTAATGGCTTAATTTATTTTAGGGGGCTGAAAAGGCGGAAACTCTACGAGAACCTTAACTAGCCGCCGGTGGCCCATAAACAAAAGTGAAAAAGCACAACAACACCAGTGGAGTGAAGGCAAAGTTCTGCCGGCATTGTTAATTTGCAGGCGCGAAATAGACGGCTGCGACCACATACAAATACAAGTATATTTCACTTACAAATCTAATCTAAAGATAGGCTACGAAAAATACATAAAATACCAGCATTTTTAAAACCCGAAATGTCTACCTACACTCAATAAAAATCCTCTAAATGACTCCATTATTAAGTTTTGGCAATTTTGACAACACGTATTTCTCACTAACATTTGTGGGTATTTTTTAGAAACTCTTTTGAAGTTATTGAATTTTTTCAAATATGCTTAACATTATTTAAGTCTGGATATTATGGGAGTATATATAATTGCTTGTAATTGTGGAGCAGCCACTCTTTGCCCAGATATGACATTTGTTCCATTTGCTCATTATCCTGTTGAAACAAAAAAGTTATCTTCTCTAACTTATATTTATTTGAAGTTGATTTACCAATTGTAAATAACTAAAGAAATAAAACAAGTCTTGTAATTTCATTGAATGCCTTTTGATAATATTTTTTCCACTCCACTTAACACAAAGCACAATATGTTAGTGATTTATCAGAGAAAACTATTCACACACACAGCACTCAGTGCCATTGATAAAGTGCTGCAACAACGGCCACTTTTCTTTTCTCCTTCCTCACATCCCTTTGACTGAGGCTCTGCCATGCTCTGGAGTTTGTAATTTAAGTTTGCGAAAACTGCATTAATAACAATTTCACCAACTGCTCTCGAACACATTTATAATATTCGCACAATAACATTTGTCAGAGTACATGTTTGTAGATCGGCGATTTAAAGCGCTTGCTATTTGTTACAATTAATATCGCTGCCTACGCACGCACTCGTGACTGTTGTTCGTCGCTCTCTTCACCTGCTCACGCTGCCGATCCAAGAAGGTGGTGAGAGAATCGCCACAGCTGGGCTTAGTAGTGCTTAGTAAATCGCCGGAGCCACTGGGCAGTAACTTATCTCTATATGGTATATTTATCTGTATATTATATAGATTTTTGGTGTATAGTTAATATTATGGTAAGTCAGA